AGAATATAAAATATACTCTTTAAGTATTAAAACTTTGAAAGCTTACCTGCTCTATCTTACACTTCTCTAGAACATCAGTTGCAAGCACTATAGTTAAGGAACTCTAATACAATAACAGAAACACTCAGGAAACTGCTACCATCTCTAATTTTCAGCTCAATGTATAACATTATATTTTCATCCACAGGGCAGTGCTGTGTGCTCCAACAGTACGGCCACATTCCCCCAAAATTAAAGTGCGCACATCCAATCTGTACAGTTCATCAGGATTAGTTTGCAAGATTCTGGGAGGAGTCTGCAGGCAAGAAGGAGGATAGGGTATTGAAGAGGCAATGATGGCATACTGGACAAGAGGTGTTAAGATGCCGAGATCGGAAAATGAAATAATGCTACAAGGACAGTAGACTGGAAGAAGAGATTAGACACAAAGATTTTGAGATAAAGTCTTGTTCCTGGAGCAGAGGTGTGGGCAAGTATCCCTTATCCATGTACCTTTCTCCCGCCTTATGGGAACACAGGATAAAATCTGTGAGAGGGAGCTTGGGACAGGAAAAGGAGCCATCAGGTTTCAGCACTTTGTTTATGTGCTGGGTGCTGTTGTAAGTGCCTCCCAGAGCTCAGGGTTTCCTGTTCTCTAGCTCAGTTTGCATACTCGGGGCACTTACGTGTGGCTTTGCAATAGCACATCATTACAATTCTGTAATTACATGTCACATGTCTCCCTACCCACTGGACTCTGCATACCTGATGATAAGGGCTGAACTGTCAACTTTGTATGCGCTGTACCAGCTTAACACTTGCTATTCCACAGATGCTTAATAATTATATGATAAATAGCAAAATGAATATACCAATTCAAAATTAAATCGCTAAGGAAAATAAAAAATAAAAAAAGCAAATTAATTACTGGAAAATGTTTTTAAAGGGCAATTAAATTACTATATATTCAGATTGCAATGGTAATTTACTTAAATCCAACATCCAAAACAAATATTTATTGATCATATGCTACATGCCAAATGCTATGCTGGGCGTTTAAATGACAAAGACAAATGCAAATGAATGTGATACTCTTCCTTACATTAGGAAGCTAAATTTTTAAACTAGTTACGTGGAAATATGATATGGGGTACAAGGGAGTAAGAAGGAAACAAGTTTAAAATTTTAGGAATTAAATTATGGAACACTTTAGTGCTCCAATGAGACTTACATTTGGTAGGATCTCACTCTGCCAGCCAGGTGTAGAAATAACAGGTGCCTTTTTCTTTCCTTTGAGGGAAGGATCTCAAAGTCATGGTGTTCATCCAGGCTGCCCAGTGATCAAGTTTTTATTTGTCTTCTAAAGCAACCTGGTGACAGTGTCCAAATGCAGAGGAAATACTTGCTCTGCTCATAGGACCCCAGATTCTGGGTCTGTGGATCGGGTCTCTCCTTAAACTTCTGATGTCATCACATCACTTTAAACCAGACCACCTATCTTCATCCATTCAGGCTGCTATAACAGAGTGACGTAGACTAGGTGGTTTATGAAAAATAGAAATTTACTTCTCACAGTTCTGGAAGATGGGAGGCCGAGATTAGGGTGCGAGCACGGTCAGGTTCTGGTGAGGGCCCTCTTCCAGGTTGCTGACTGCCATCTTCTTGTTGTAGTTGTATCCTTACATGGTAGAAAGAGGGCTTTCTGGGGCTCTCTTTTCTAAGAGCACTAATCCCATTCATGAGACTCTACCTTCATGATTTAATTACTTCCCAAAGGCCCCATCTCCTAATACCATCACTGGGGGGTTAGGATTTCCACATGTGAATTTTGGAGGTATGCAAACATTCAGACCATAACACCACCACAGGAGTTACACTGGTGCTTCACAAACATTAATGTCCATAGCAATCCCTGCAGATTCTTTTGAAATGCAGATTCTGATGCAGGAGATCTGAGATGGGGCCTGGGATTCTTCCTTTCTCATAAGCTTCCGGGAGGATGCTGCTCTGGGGAGGGTCACACTCAGCCACAAAGATTTGGAGGACAGTGGAAGGCTGAAGAAATGAAGAGTGTCCTTCCGTATTTCCCTGATGTAGGCTTTGCCTTCCCTTCACTAAAGTCTAATGAAAGCAAAGAATTCTGAGCAATATATTAATAGCTATGCTGTGTCCAGGCATTAGGGCATCTTCAGGATCAGCTGTCTTCAAAGATTATTCATGTTTATTAAAAGCAAAATCTTTTCCTTAGTCATCACATCAAGGACTCAGAAGATGTCCTGGACCAGAGACGATACCCCAAAACGGGAAGAAAGAAAAAGCCCAAGACAGAGCCAATTTGGAAAGCTCCACCCCTCCTCCCTGTTTTACTTAAGGTAGAGGCAATCTCGCATCTTCCAGATTCTGTTTTGCAGCTTCTGTGAGAAAAAATCTCTGTCCTTAAACAAGGAGACCTGGAGAACGATCAGTCAAGAAATTCGAGATTCCTCTAGGCTGGGTTATTAGGATTCGACAGGGAAGGCACTGTTTGGGGAAAGAAAGAATTGAGGGTCCTTTAAATCTGGGTGGGGATGTCAGGCACCTGGGCCACCATCAGAGCTGCTTCTTTAGTATGACCAGAGCCTTGTTGCCAGAGAACGCACCGACTATCTGCTTGGGGACCCCTATGTGGCACGAGATTTCCAATTTTCCATCAACTCATAGTTTATCATCTCATTCTGCAGATGAGCCACTCGGAAAGCTGACAGAGGTTATGCAACCTGCCCAAGGTCACACAGCCTAAAGCTAACTGAGGATGTGAACGTTGCCCAAAGTCATAGTCCAGTCTTTCCAATAGCACTTAGGGAAAAAAAACAAAAGCTTTGAAGAGTAGCCGGGGGTAGACTGGGGGTGAGGGTGCGGGGTGCCCCCACCTAGCCCCGAGACTCCGCCCTTCAGGGTAACTTGACCGCCCAGCCGGGCGCGAGAACGGGGACGGAAAGGAACCGCTTCCGGGAGACAGACCCGAAGAGGGGTGGGCACTTCCGGAGCACCGTAGATGAGGGTCATTAAAGGTCAGCAGGTTTGAAGTGAGGGCCAGGACCGCAGGTCGCGCTAAAAGGTACACGGAGATTCATAAGCCTTTCTAGGTATCCGAAGATAGCATGACTCTAGACGAGAAAGTCTTGCCCACGCTCGTGGACACTCCGGTCGAGCGGCCTACGGTCCCAGAGGGCGCCGCCATGTTGACTACAGTAATTTAAATGAAGAACGCGAGGCTGATGCAGGCTGGCAGGCGTCGGGGCGGTGACGTCATAAACCCGCGCGGGGAGGTGGCACCAATCCCTTCCGCTGGACCTTCCTGGGCGGGCTCACAGCGGGCGTGGGCCCAGCCCTGATAGGCGGAGCCACGTTGAGTGATAGTCCGGCCCCGCCTCCTGATTAAAGGGGCCGTTCAACACGGAAGTGCTTCAGGCCTGCGCTGGTAATGACAGAGTTCTGGGGCCCAGCGAGTGGCTGGCGGGTCCAGGTGTGCTGTCGCGGGTCTGATGCGGCGGCAGCCTCCGCCTCGCCGCCCCCCGAGCTGCCGGAGGGTACTGGCCCTGCGCGGGCTGGGCGTGGCCGCCTGGCAGCTAATCACCCGACCCCCTCCCTGCCGCGCCAAAACCTGGGCTCGCCAGTATCGATGACCAGGGTTCTCTCTTCGTGAACACCAGCGCGGCGGAGCCTCCTTCCCTCACAGCGCCAGGCCGGTGCATCAGGAACAAAGGCCTTAGGTCCCTAAATTCGAGGCCGGGGCCGTGTGCCTGGTCTCAGGACCCCTCAATGGGGCCCTTGGGTTCCCCAGGAAACCCTGAGAACCTCGGAGTGGGCAGCCTTTTGGGGGCACGATTTCACACACCTAGGCAAATCGTGCCAACTGAGGCATTGGGAAACATAGTTTTGTATTTAGATGTGTTGCAAGTATGAAGTGGTGTGCCTGAGATTTCATGGAGTCTTCAATTGCCTTTACCACTCATGACCTCAGTTTGTCTTGAGATACTTGGCAATGAGGTGTATAGCTTTGTTGAATAGTTGCTTATTGCATTATTGAGTAATTAGTGTTTTAAAAAATATGGATGTGCAAAAGAAATGGGGGAGAGGAGCAGGGACCTATATTTGAAATTTAATGGTGCTTTTAAAAAGAGCAAATGAATTGTTCATTCGGAATTTGATAGGATCTCTTAATATTAATAATTTTCTCTTTCCACAATAGTAGTGCCCCTCACTTCTGCAAAAAAGTTTCAAAAGGTCAAGAAAAAAGGCCTTTCCAATTAGAATTCATACAGTACTGTCTCTTGCCAAGTAATTAAATAGTAAATTCCATAATCTATGTACTGAACAAATGTGGAATGTTTAATTTAAAAATTTTATAAGACTATTAGGTCAAGGTGAGAAAGGAAAAAAGTTTTCTTTGAAAGATTCCTGTGTTTAACTAGAGTTGATTGAAACAACTGTGCTTAACACAGAGAATGATACATTTGAAGAAAGCCTTGGAACAATGATCAGCATAAGACTACACAGTATGTAGAATAAACTATACCAGCTTACAGCATTTTTGTTTTTGTATTGTCAATTCCGCAGCTAGAATGAAGCACATCAACTTGTCGTTTGCAGCGTGTGGGTTTCTGGGCGTTTACCACTTGGGGGCAGCATCTGCACTTTGCAGACATGGCAAACGGCTCATGAAGGATGTCAAGGCCTTTGCGGGGGCTTCTGCTGGATCCTTGGTTGCTTCTGTACTCCTAACAGCACCAGACAAAATAGAGGTAATTGAGTAGTAACTAGGCTGCATTTCTCATCAAGAAATTAAGGCCAAGTGGCAAAAATGAGTGTTAACTTTACTAAGTTAACCCTGCAGAGAAATAATCCTTTGTCTGAAAAACAGAAAAGGTTAAGACTTCTAAAATTTAATCACTGGAGATCTGTGCTTTGGCTTTGGAAAAGATTATTTCAGGTGACAGTGAAATAAAATAAAATGCCTTATTTCACTCTTGAGTTTTTATTTATCCTTAAGATTCCAGCACTGTTCCTTTAAAGCAAAGGATATTTCTTCTTTCTGTGATCATGTAAAAAGCTTGTAGCCTGTGTTCAAGGCCTTGAACATGCGGCCAATGACTCTCTGCTCACTGCTATTTACAAATAGACATATAAATTAAAATGTAGACACAGAATTTCTATTAAGTGGAATGGTATGGGAATTTAATTTGTTTTTAATTTTCACAGTAAGAGGAAGCTCTGAGTTCCAAGCAGTTTATCCAGAGGTAGTACAAATAAGCCTTCATTATGTATTTTATTCAATGCAATCTATGTTTTAAACATCTGTTTTCTGCTATCTGGACGGTGATCAGTCATTCACTGACTGTGAGAACTGGTTTCTTTAGTTGGGAAATAATATATTTGTTAATTACTTATATCTCTAGCAGCTTTGATCAATAATAAAATAATAATTTATTTCAGTCCCATTTAAAATTTCAAAGCTACAAAATTTTAAACATCCAAATCTCTTTCTCAATCTATTGTGAGCTCCTTAACAAAGAGAAACTGGAATTGAGGCCAATTATTCAGAAATCTACCTATCTTTACTTCCCGTCTTTATGTGGTTGATTTACAGGGACCTATGGAAATCATTAAAAACTGTAGAGATTACACAGGATGAGAACCTTAAATCAGGAAAAGTATAAATAAGATGTGAAAACTCCCACCAACTAGCAGAATCATATGCTTTCAGTTGCAGCGTAGCTCCTTCTCAGAACTCCATTTCCTTTCTGAAGCAGCGGGCTCCTAAGGGGGCAGTTCCGCCTGTTTAGTGCAGTCTTTAGCTAGGGCAAATCCTGAGCTTTGGAGTTGGGTAGACTTGGTTTCCAACGCTCAGCAAATGTAGACATGTCTCATGCAATTTAGAACTAACATGATTCTGAAATACTGCAATAATACAGCCACTTACTTAACTGAAATTCTGTGATATTAAGACATTGAATAATTTACTTAAATTTGTTACTTGAAATCATATTTTCAAGTCACCTGTTATTTATTTTTTGCACTAGAGACTCAGTTGTGTTGTCTGATCGTTGTCAGTGTGATGAAAAGGTTAAGTCTTTATTGGGTGCTCCCAAGGGTGGGTAGAAAATGATTCCTTTTGTTTACTTAGGGCATCCTCATTTCTCATTTTTCAAAATAATTTTTCAGCCAAAATCACCTTTTGACTTAAGGTTATTTTATTTCTTTTCTTTTTAGCATTTGAAATAATCCATTTGTAGGATTGCTTTGAGTTTTTTTAGCAAATCTTTCTACCTACTCAAATTCCTGTTAGCTCAGTTCTCACTGATGGTGTAAGTTCCTCAAGCTTTCCACTGTTGTGACAAATATGTGCGTAATTAATCTTGTTCTGAGCTTATGCATGTATAATTAAGAGGAGCACCTGATGTGGGGCATAATTTAGGTGGTAGGCAAATTTAGGCACTGGTATGGAAGAGCTCAACGCTGCAGGCCTTTCCTCAGCCCTCGCAATTTGCAAGGAAGGCGTGGTGGGGAACTCAAAGGTGAATATGTTCATTCCTTGATGGGTTTACAGTCTGGTCAGGGATTGTGTGTGTGTGTAACTAAAATTAATGCAAGGAAATAGGCCAGGTGGACACTCCAGCAGAGGAGAAAGCACATGATTGGGGGGGCCACCCTCATTTCTCACCTCAAAGCTCCGGCGGCCTCCTGGCAGCACTTAACGTGTTATTACCCAAATGCAAATCTGATTCTCTCATTCCCCACCCCACCTGTGGACTTAGTATAGTATGATCTGGGGTTCCTCAGCATGCCTGCCTCACAAGGCCTACTGGTGGCTTGCCAGGATGGATGACACATTGCAGCTCCGTGCCCCTCTCTGAGTTGTTCTTGCTGCTGTTTTTACTATTATCCTCTTACACCTCCATCCCCTATCCAAGTCCTCCTCATATTTAAGGTCCCAGCCGAGACGTTAAATTGCAGAGGAAGCCTTTGGCAAACCCTGAGGTTGGAAGTTCACACCCACTATATTCATTTCCTGTTGCTGCTGTGACAAATGGCCAAGTTAGTGGCTTCAAACAACAGGCATTTATTATCTTACGGTTAAGGAGGTCGTAAGTCTGAAAGGGTCTCACTGGGCTAAAATCAAAATGTCAGCGGGGCTATACTCACTCCCTCCAGAGGGTGGGGGGGGGGAATCCTGTCCTTGCCCTTCCAGTTTCTAGAGGCTGCCCACATGCCTTGGCTCCTGGCCATTTCCTTTATCTTTATTTTTTTTTCATTTATTTTTATTTATTTTTTTTATTTCAGGATATTATGAGGGTACAAATATTTTGGTTACATTTTATGTCTTTGCCTCACCCAAGCGAGGATTAGAGGCATGCCCTTCCCCTCTGTAATGCTCACCACGTCCATTAGTTGTGAGTTTACCCACCCCCCCAACCACCTAATCCCTGGAGAATATTACTACTATGTGAGCACCATAGTGTTGATCAGTCAGTGCCAATTTGATGGTGAGTACAAGTGGAGCCCATTCTTCCGATCTGGTGATACCTCACTTCGGATGATGGGCTCAAGCTCCATCCAGGAAAACATAAGAGGTGCTAGATCACTGTCGTTTCTTATAATTCAGTAATACTCCATGAAATGCAAATCAAAACCACAATGAGATATCACCTAACCCCAGTGAGATTGGCCTCTATCAAAAAATCCCAAGACAACAAATGCTGGCGAGGATGTGGAGAGACAGGAATACTCATACACTGCTGGTGGGACTGCAATTAGTGCAACCTAGTGGAAAAGAATTTGGAGATACCTCAAAGAGTGAGGAAATTCACTGAAGAATGTGCTAAATTAGAATTCGAATCGAGCCTTCAAGGATTTTTCAGATGTAGGCAAAGGCCATTTAAGGTGGTTTAAAAAGAAAAAAAATTTAGGATTGCAAGAACATATAACTTGCCAAGGGCCTAAGAATGGTGGGTGAGACCCAGGCCAGGTTGCGGATTTGCACACCTGTGACAGAGCATGACACCCAAAGTCTGGGGTTGGATGTATAGCATCCTATACATTGTGTGATTGGCACAGACTTTTGGAACTGGAGTGAAGTTTTTTTGACAACACATAGGGTCACCTATTGATATTCTTTTTCAGGAATGTAACCAATTTGCCTACAAGTTTGCCGAAGAAATTAGAAGGCAGTTTTTCGGGGCAGTTACACCTGGTTATGACTTCATGGCCCGATTGAGGTATATATATAGTACATTTCGCCCCAAAGCACATGAAGACAGAGTGTTGACAACTCTCTGTACAAACTGTGGCAAGCTCAGCATTCTCTCTCCTAAAATATTTACAAGACGTTCAATAATTAAAGGTGAATAACGTGGATCACTTTTTCTTCTTTAGAAGCGGAGTGGAGTCGATTCTTCCTTCCAACGCTCACGAGCTGGCCCAGAATCGACTGCATGTATCCATCACCAACACCAAAACCAGAGAAAATTACTTAGTCTCAAGTTTTTCCTCCAGGGAAGACCTCATTAAGGTAACAAAGCCGTGCTTCTGTCTGAGGAAATCAGCAAGTGCTGATTTAAATTCTTCATACAAATAATGATCATTAGCACATTCTTTAGATCCTGTGTCTCACATCACGCCTGATAGATGGTAGGTCTCAAAGAATTATGTGTCTGATGAATGCATCCACCAGAATCCCTCCCGAGGTCACCTCCAGACTGTGACCCGGAGGCCGCCTGGACTTGTTCAATGTTTTCCCACCGACGTTCAGACCCTCACATTTTTTTAGGTGAAGCAAGTCATTGATGCAGTTTAGTAGCAATAATATAGGTAGCTTAAATGTAGGTAGATAATTCTTTGCCGTTTTTCTAAGACTTTTTGCATGTATTCTCTTAATCCTTCAACAGTCCTTCTGTAAATCAGGTAGGACAGGTGTTATCATAGCACTTTTATGTCTTTAACAAGGAAGAAATCGGTGGGAATAGTTTATGTGATGAACATGTACACACACGTACCCAAGGTTATTCTGCATGCCAGTGGGAACCAGTTTTAGGTCCCAGGTCTCTTCACTTTTCAGTGTAATGTTCCGTTTGTTCCTTCCATTTTGTTTTGATGCCTTTCTATCCAAACACATTTGAAAGTTGTTTGGTTGAGAATTCATTTTCTCTGGGAAATACTTCACCTGATTGATTTCCAAATAACAATGCACTTGCTAAGGTAATGCATTGAATATTTGTACATTGGAAAGGTGCACTTTTCTTAGAAAAGCTGGGCAATCTTTTCTTTATTTTTTGTGCAAATCACAGCAAGCTTCAGGTAATACGGAGAATGTATGTTTTGATCCAGCAGCAGGTAATGGGTTGAGAGTGCATGGTAAAAGTCCACCTGAATTAGGTGATAAATGCATTGATTTTTACTACATTCGGGTGCTGTCATCTGAAACACTTAATGAAATGTTGAATTGACTAATAAAATTACTTTGCCACTTAATAGATTAGAATATTTTTACTCAATGTACCTATTATGCCAGTCTCTCACTTATAAATTAATAGTCTTTCTACCTTAGAAAAAGGTATATTTCTATAATCTTATTATGATATCATGGAGACTTGACAATATAAAGGGAAGAGCTGGTCAACCCATACCTGAGTGGTCACAAGTTGTCAACGTCCAGTTCAGACAGATCAGGCTTGTTGGGGCTAGGGGGTGGCGTATCTCTTCCGCTTTGCCTAAGAACACACTGTGTGCACTTGTGTCATAAAACAAGAGGGGACTTCTTCCCACAGTGTGCCCCTTCCATAGAGCCTGTCCCTGGTTGCTCTATCTACAATGGCAGAACTCTGAGCCCTAGATCTTCCTACATCCCATCCTGACTTACATGTCACTGTTTAGCATACTACCCATTTTACTGCTTTTTCATTTAGCTTTTATGGTCTATCTTTCTTCACTAGAATGTGAGCTCCAAGAGTCAGGGATTCCTCTGTTTGCCCGCTGTGCAGCCCATCACGTGACATGCGGCCAGCCACAGTGGGGTGCTCCATCAGTGTCTCAGTCAAATGCATATGAACCAAGGTGGCCGCTGTTGCAATGGTCTGCTTTAAAACAAAAGAACAGAGAAGCAGGGACGTCCCTATTCGGTGACCTGGGCAAAATAACATAGCTTGTTGGGGCCCAGCTGGCACCATGGTCCATGTCTCTAGGATCCTGCTCTGACTATACCCCACATGGGGTAAAATAAATGGTCATCCTCTCTGTCCCTTTTATGTGAGAGTGAGGAAGACAGAAGCATGGCCCTCAAAGATGCCCATACCCTAATCCCCAGGGCTTGTCAAGATATAACCTTACATGGCAAAAGGGATTTTGTGGGTGTGATTAGGTTAAATATATTGAGGTGGAGAGATGATCTGGGATTATCCAGGTCAACCCAAACTAAGCACGAGAATCCTTAAAAATGGAGACCTTTCCTGGACTTGATGCGTCATTGCTGGTTCTGAGATGTAGGAACCCCCATTTCTAGAGAACACAGAGGCTTCTGGGAAGGTAGCTCCCCACTGACAGTCAGCACAGAGAAGGGACTTCAGCCCTGCAACCATATGGAACTGAATCCTTCTAATACCTGAATGAGAAAGGAACAGACTCTCCCCTGGAGCCTCCAGAAAAGAACGCAGCCCTGCCAACAGCTTGATTCTGCCAACAGCTTGATTCTGCCCCGCTGAGACCCGTACCACACTTCTGACCTCCAGACTGTATGATGATAAATTCGTCTTGTTTTAAGCTGTTAAATTTGTAGTAATTTGTTGTAACAGCAATAGTAAACATGACGTTTTTCCATTTCCTTTGTTTTGGATAATAACTACTCAGAGAATTGGTATAATTACTTGAGTTCATTGAACGGAAGTGAAATAGTTGACACAAATGTGTCATACCTTGTAAGGGGAATATTGAATAACTAACACTTATTCTAGGTTACACAAGAAACAGTCAGAATGTTTAGTAGGCTGCTTTAACCTTTCTCAGAACTAAAAAGAAGGAAGGATAGATATAGTTCCTTGGAAGCAGATGGTGACTACCAAACTGTATGAAATCTATACCTGGAAAACTCATGAAGGATTTAGTGGGAAAGAGTCAGAATGGGTGAAGACTAGGAATGAGAGACCAAGAATGTCGCCTAAGGTGCTGCCATGTGCAGATGTTGTTCTGACCTTAGTTGTGGTGGTAGGTGGGGGAGGAAGCCATCTGAAGGCAGTGCCCCTCCCCTTAGGTGGGGTCCCCAAAGCCAGGAGCTGAAGCAGCCCAGTGACTTAGAACACCAGGTCTCCCAGGGCTTTACATGCCTGGCTCTGAACACACAGTGTTGGGTCTGCTTTCCAACATCTGGAACTTCTGTAGGTGGGAGTGAGGGAGAGATTCATTAAAACTCAAGGTAGAGTAAAGGAGCGTGGGCTAGTACTAAATACTGGTGATTTTCACCTCCATGAAGTCTTGTTCCATGTCGTCCTTTCTATCCATTTTTATCATTTACTCATTTATTCTGCTATTTACTAGTTGAATTTTTTTTTCATGCCTGGCTTTCCATAATTCACCAGCTGACTGCTGCTCTTTATAATGGACAGAGTGCGTGTGTACCCCGAAATCCAACTGGAAACCTGTAGCTTAAAGTAAGAGTGTGTGTGTGTGTGCATACTTTTGAGGAGGTCTTTTTTAATGTTCTCTAGGATGATTATCTGTTTTATTTAAGTCTCCCGGTGATCATGTCTAGGTGTATCATTTCTCCATGTTGTCCTCTTGGACTAATTATTTTTGAGCCTCCATTCTCTTATCTGTGAAATGGAGTAATTAGCACAATAACTAGTGTTACAGTGGAGAATAAATAAAATGAAACATAAGAAAGTGCATTTTAAATGGTAAAGCCTTATGCATGTTGATTAAAGCCAATATTTCATAAATAATGAACAAATAAGGTAGTAACCCACACACTGCTGCTCAGCACCCCTATACAAATCTGTCTTGAAGTTTTAAAGCCATGTTAAATCACAGCTTTCTTTTCTTCCAGCTGAATAGCACTTATCATTTCTTACCAATTTTATTATTTAACTCTTCACTAATCATCTTTGTTCTTCATGAACAATGTGCTAACCTATATCTATAATATTTCGGGAAATGGATTGCTCCTAAGTTTTTGCCACCTTTGGGCATTTGATTATATAGCTAGCTCTTCACTATATGCCTTCTTTTTAAAAAAAAAAAAAAATGGTTTCGTGTGATGACTTAAATTGTACTAACTTTGCTTTTAGTGAAATGAAAAATTGTTCTTTCATGTGATAGCTGCAGTGTCAATTGATTGTTATCTGAGAACCCCTGCTAACTAATAATGCGGTCCAAAGATTCCTTTTGTTTGGGACTGAGTTTCCATAGAACGCTGACTCTTATGTCTGTGATAATTTGACTCAGTCTTTTGCACTTTATGCACCATTACAAGACAGATGCATGGCCTTCGGCATTCTTTTGTCTAGGATTTATTGATGCCAAACATTCCCCTCCTCACCAACAGTGACTACACCAAGGCACATATGACATCTGCTACCAAACTGCTTTGAAGTGGCCTGAGAGAGGAGATCCCTTTACAGAGTTCAACCAGGGCCCCATGAGGCCCTCCTCCAAATATCTCGTCTTTATTTTCCATCAATCCAAGACTCATTTTGGGTGCCATACCCAGAAAAACGTTCCTTCAGAAGATCAAATCCATCGATCCTTTATGCCTGGGGGTCACTTGTCTTCAGAGGATCAACACTGAGCTGAGATCAGTTTCTGCAAATGCAGTGATTGTTTGGGAGTGGAAAAGAATCGTGGAGGGGCATTGCACACCTGGCTGACCCTTGCCATGGGTGGACTGTGGGATCCTTGGCCAGTCTCAGCCTCTTCTGAAGGTCAGATGAAATATGTGTGAACGTGCTGCACCCACACTTAAGTACTTAGCAGGTGTACATGGTGACTTTCGGGGCCTCCGCTCTCCTGTCGTCCATCTCTGTACACCCTCCGTTCTTTTGTGTGATTTCTTAGTGCTGCCTCCCCTGGTGAGCCTCTCTACACATCATCCTCTGAATGTCCAGGTATGTACATTTCACATACCAACTCATGCGTTTCAAGTTCCAGATTTTATTCTGGGCTGTTTTTCTTTAGTAGCATACATGCAACCAGGAAATCCAAACACATTTTAATATTAGCCTTCGACAAAGCAGAACTAGGAAAGTAAGTCCTTTGTTTAAAAGAGAGTCATATGCTACTTCCAAGGCTGAGGAGAAATGATTTTTTAGTTAACAATGCCATGGTGCCATGGAGTTCCACTACTTCCCTGAATTGGTGCAAATCATTGAATCTTCATGTTTAAAGCTGATGCAGGCGTGTGTTCTGAAACAGTCTTTTGACATGTGTCAATGCTCTTTGATACAGGTTCTCAGGAAGACTTTCACACGCAATGGTATCTCTGGCCCTCTTGGGGGGAACTACACTGTCTCCATTGCTATAATGTCCTGAATGTTCTTGCACACAAAGAGAATGCTCTTGCAGCAAGATCTTCTCACACTTAGCCTTGAGAAGGTGAAATAAGGACTGAATTTAAGATAGGTCATTATCTTGGAAAAACTGGGGAATATAAATTTGAATCTGTCTTTGAATTTCAACTACGCCAGCAGATTCTGTATAAACAGTTAGATTCTCATTAAAGTCCACAGTAAACTTTAGGCATAAATGAAACCTGTTGAGAATTTACTCTCTAAGGAAGTTAGGCCACATGATTTTCTAGACACCTCTTTTCTATAAAGTGCAAAATGATGAGAGCCAGTGAGAATGTGTATTGGATATACACTTGGCAACATTTTATACTGTGGTTACAGGAAGTAACTCACTTTCACTGTTATCACTATGTATTTACTAAGAATAAAACAAAAGTCAGATCAGTGATTTTGCATGTGTATAATGTTCGAAGCGCTGTACCAAGTGATGGGACATGAGAAGTAGGCGCCTGCTGTGTACATCAGCGTTCTCAACCACGGCCACCGCACTACCGACATTTGGGCCCTGATAATTCTTTGTTGTGAGGGCTGTTCTGTGCTTTTCAGGAAGTTTAGCTGCATCCCTGGCCTCTGTCCAGTAGATTCCAAAGTGTCCCTGGGGGTAAAATCACCCCCAGCTGAGAACCACGGCTGTAGCTATGTTGAGATTGTTGGTGAGGTAAATGTCACTGGGAACAGTGTGAGGTCAGACGCACGAAAAGCACATGTTTAAACGTAATATTTTATTAAGTGACCTCAGGATGTCAATCTTTATCTCCTTCCTTAGAAAATCCTATTTTCCTGCAATAAAATGATGGTAAGCTGACTACAAATAAGAAAAGCCGCTCAGTTCTTAACTATCTAAAGCTAATTTTCCCACTAAACTTAGTTTGATATACAAATCATCAGTGCCTATGAAGGGAGAATAAGCTAAGACAAGAACAAATACATTGATTTGGAGGAGTGACAGGTATTTTCCAGCTCGCTGCACTTTTCATATCATTCAAGAGGATTTTTACTGTTATTATCTGTAAGAAAGTAATTGGATAGCATTTTTCATCTCTATACTTCAAAACAGTTCCAAGCATTAACTTGTGAACTCTGCATTATACTTTGACACAGGGGGAGGAGAAAAAAAACATCATTCTGGTTCCAAGGGTGGTGATTTTTTTGCAGGCTACATATGTTTCTGCAGCATAATCAAATAAATCGCTATATTTATAGAGTGCCTTTGGTCCTTTAAAGACCTCTAAGTACTGTAATTTTACAATGTGTGCACTATCCACAAATTGTTCCAGTTATTGCTGTGGTGCAATGTTGCATTTGCTGAATAACTTCATTAAATAGCTATGTTGTGCTTGCAAAACATACCTAGGGTCTGTGATTATTTTTTTAAAGGAGTAGCCAATTGATGAGAGGGCCAAATCTGGTTAGGATAAATGCAATTACCTTAACTGTAAACAACCTTTCTCTGAAAACTACCCAACTGCTTATGATGTCATTGTTCCCAGTGTGTTGAGAGGGTTGGGATTGAAGATGCTTACTTTCTGTCCCCTCTCTCCTATCAATTTGTTAAGTGATCTTCAGCAAATCACCTAAGATGCTACTCACTGCTGCTCTGCCTCTTTGGAGAATGGACGTGGTTGATGTCACGTCACGCTATTGCATTCTGCGGCCTGTTCCAAGCTGAGGTTTTGCGATGAATGCTTTGGTGCAGGCATGTGCGTTGACTCTTTGTAGAAGGTTGACAAATCTTGTGTGAGGTTGTTATTGTACCTTGCGATAAATAAATAAAAATGTAAAAAAAATAAAAGTGGCCGCTTTCCTCTGGGAAACAGTGCTGCAATTAGTGTGCTTTCAATATTTCAATAAACAAGTAATTGAGATAGATGTCCATAAAATTGGCCAAAAGGCGGAAAAAGAACCAAACGTAAGAAATCTGACTCGTGTGTGTTGGCCCTGGTAAAAATACGTGTGCGCATATATTTCGTATTAAAATGAATGTGGGTCCAGGTGCAGTCTGAGCCACTTACTAGTGGAGAGACCCTTGAGCAAGCGAGTCCATCTTTTTGAGAAGCAGTTGTGAGAGAATTAAATGAGACCTTCTGGTTGAGGGTGTAGCAGGGTCTACTTCAAGGATGTGCCACCTATGCATTTGCGTAGGGCCCCACTACCAAAAGGGGGTTATGGTTGGTTTAATGCCCTGCTGTCAACATCTTGAAATTCCTAATACTTTCCGAACAAGGGGCCCTGCATTTGTATTTTGTACAGGGCCCAGAAATTATGTAGCTGGTTCTGGCACCTAGAACCAGCCTGGTACAACAGAACCCTTTAACACATGGCTATTTCCTGTCTTTTTTCCTGTCCCTGTGTGGTGCTGTTACCCTTGAATCTGCCACTGCTAAAATCTGAGACCCCAAAGCTGCCTTGGCCGCCTGTCAGGAGCCTAATGCTGCAGCAACTGTTACAGTTGGGACCTGTCCCCTTGCGTCCAACATGCCACCACAGCATGGGGCAATCCTGGTTAATCCCACTAGTGGGAGTGTGGGGGAGAGTGCCGGGTGTCTTTGTTCCCACCACAGACAGGGAGAGGGACACAACAGGCATTTGTTGAGAGTATTAGCCCTGTGAAGGGCTGGATGTACCAGCAGAGAGACACATCTCTTTCCCTCCGGTGAGTTTCTTTGGTAGTAGGAGACAGGAGATGTGTTCAGGGAAGAGCCACCACCTAAAAAATCTTATGCCGAGTTCCATGTACATGGTTCAGACATCAATGTGGCAAGAAGGGCTTCCAGCTGTGTCCGGTCACAACTCAGCATTTTCCTGTAGAAATTGGGCTACACTGGTGATGGGGTCTGTCATTTAGTTCAATTCAGAATGAACAGGCATTTGAGAGCTGACCTAGAAATCATATCTATAATATTGTTTGGGGGGGCAAAATGCCTTCTGAGTTCTAAATAATTCTAAACAGATGATTTACAAATCAGCGTTTGGGCCATAATCCATTTCTGAATAATGTATGTTGGAAAAAGAATCTCCTGAAATCTTTGGCAACAAACAGCCATAGAGTCTTTCACTTATCAGTTGAAAGATTATAGCTTAAAAAATATTCAGTATCTAAAGCAGTATGTTTTCAACTAGAACACTAGTGATTTAGGAACCACACTGTGAAATAAAACATTTACATTTCAGAAAAGCCACCAGAGCCCAGCTTCTCCCATCGTAAGGAATGGTAATATCCTAAATGACAATCTTTTTCGACTTTTTAAATGGAAGATAAAGTATAATTGGTGTCTTTACTTGCCAGGGTTCCACTATCTATCATGACCATGTCACTAGAACATAAAATGTGCTATTCTCTTAGGACATCATTGTGACGTAAATTAGAATATCTCTGAGCTGGTGGACTAGCCGCCCTTGTCATAATCAGAGGGGTTCGTTCCTCTGGCAAATAAGATTTTTACAGTTTGTGATAGAACATTACAAATAATTTATTTGCAACCTGCACATACTCAGGAATTTAGACTTACCTTATGTTTAATTTTGCAATGACTTGGTTGTCTACAATTAAAATGCTGATTTTTATGTGTGTGAGATTGATTCATTCAGAGAGTGTGGATTTGTACCTATCTCTTTAGAGTCTTTTCAGATATTAAAAATGTTATCTTTCATGTAAGTATGTGCAGTGGTATACGTGAAATATATTGAACTTATTCATTTAATAAGATTTTTATAGCAAATAATATATTTATTATCTGAATGTTAATGTCTGTACTCATGAGCTATCTCTCTTTTATCTCCCTAGGTACTCTTAGCTAGCAGTTTCGTGCCCATCTATGCAGGCCTGAAACCAGTGGAATACAAAGGGCAGGTAAGGTGGTTATCACTGAGGGATTACACTGATCCCCATATTTGTATGTTTCTTTCGAAAGATCCAATTTTATACTTAATCTGGTGGCTCCAAATCAGTTTATGTATTTTTTCTCATAAATAGCTTTGTATCTATTTAAGATGAAAAAACTCAAATAGCAGGCACTGTGGTACCTCATCCCCAAGATCTCATGAATGGGAATAACTGACTAGAAATGCTCCGATTTTCATCTTTAAAAAATATTTATCTTTTTTTTCTTTTTTGGTTTTTTTTTTACCTAGTAAAGTCCTTCTATAAACTGCTAGAAGCAGAATTGCACATCAGGGAAGGAAAGGCTCAGGGCCTGCTTCCCTGCCCTACCTGAGACAGTGTTTGCTTCCGCCAGGCTCGTGGCCTGCCCAGTAGACAACCCAACCTCTCCCAGGCCTCCATGTACCAGACATCTTCACTGCTGAGGGTAACACACGTTTGCCTTGAGGAGAGCTCTCCCCACTTCGGGCTGGCACGTAAGGCAGGATGCCAGCTCTGTGAGGGAAATTTAGACACGGGCATCAGCTAAAATCAGCTCTCAGTGCTGCCCAGCGGCCTCTTAGCCCACCCCCTCCTCAGTCCACCCAGTGTTTGTTCCTGGCACTTGCCATTCCACCCTCGGCGGCTCCCCCACTGTGTGGACGTGGGTCCAACATAGGCATTCAGTAATCAAAATGGTGTCTGTTTAACACATACCAGACGTATGCATTTGATAATCAAATAGAGTGTCTATTGAACACATGCCAGAGATAGGCATTTTGTAATCAAATACAGTATCTGTTTAAAACACACTAGAGATATGTATTTTATAATCAAAAAGAGTATTTAACATATACCAGAGATAAACATTTTATGATCAAATACAGTAACCATTTAACACATATCAGAGTTGTATATTAATATTTTGTAATCAAGTATAGTACCTATTTAACACATATCAGAGACATGCATTTTATAATCAAATACAGTATGTATTTAACATATACCAGAGAATCAGAGATATGCATTTTATAATCAAATACAGTGTCTATTTAACACATACCAGAGAAATGCATTTTATAATCTAATATAGTGTCTATTTAACATATACCAGAGAATCAGAGATATATATTTTATAATCAAATACAGTGTCTATTTAATATATACCAGAGAATCAG